GTGGTCTCATGCAACCCCAAGCCACCACAGATTCAGTTTACGGTGGAGAAATGTACTCCTGTTCCGCCTTCTGGACATGAAAGCCAACATGCACTGCTGCCAGATCACCCAGGGATTGAAGACCAAACTGACGTGGAGCAGCCCCTGTGCAGCCGTCCACCTACAGTGATCGAGTCCAGCGGCGAGCAGTCAGAGTCTGATGTACCGGATTCTAGTACAGCCGAACCCATTGAAGCCCAACCTGAAACTAGCAATGACCTACCTGACATACCTACCAACTTACCTGAACTTGTCGAAATACTTGCTGAAGAGCCTAATTCTGTCTGGCCTCCTGACAATGATGTTGACGTAGTTGACAACACACTCAGACGTTCGGCAAGACAAAGAGTGCCACCTAGCAGACTACAATACATTACCCGTGGTAATCCATTGATTTCCGTAGTCTAAACAATGTTGCATAGCTTGTCTGACGCATTGTTGGTCCGCCATCACTAACCGTCCGTTTCCGTAGTATCTGCCGTTCAACTTTTTCTACCTTGCAACGGGACGTGCAAGAAGTTAGGCGGGGAGGATGTAACCCACATCAAATTCCGTGGTTAAATCATTTTAAATAATATGAGAGGATAAATAAAATTTTGTGAGGTCACGTGATTTTTACCTGTGTGCACCCGGTTCCGGATTCTCTCAGCCAATCACGCTGCGGTATTGCCGATACATGCTTCCTGCTCTCTCTCTCCGGCAGAGAGGTGGGAGAGCGACAGCAGGACTGTCACAACAGGTTGGTCTCGCAAAACTAAACTTTTTAAAATCTTGTTCATTAAGCCTAGCGCTAAACTTTGTCCACCTTAGGAAGCTCTAACCGCCGCACGCTTCGAGCATTGACGGGTTCTCGCTGCGCTGTGTTATTGAGTGGAAATTGGTGAGTGAATGTTTATTTTTGTGTGTTGTTCATGTAGCACTGTTGTTTTAGCAATTGCTTGTTATTGTGATGAAATCTAGCTAGTAGGAATGTGATGACAAGTGTATTTATTTGGTCCTGTTTATTTAAACAGGCCAGGTTTGCCCTGTCGGGTACAAACGCGATGGCGAGCTAAGCCCAGAGCCGAAAGCACCACGAACTGACAGCGAGCTGGCTACGTTACTTCTGCGGTCTGGTAGGAGAGCCGTTGTGGCCGTCTGCTCCCACCTTTTTCAGTCTTTGGTGAATGACGTGATGGTGTCACGTGGGTGAAATTAAATGAGACCCAAAATGCAAAACTGCAAAAAATAATGGATTTAATAAAAAGATGAAACAAATCCAAAAACACCGGGAACGAGGACCGAACTAAAACAGACAAGGAATGACAATGATGGAACAGGGCTAAATACAAGACTAACGAGACACAGGTGATACACATGAGGGCAGGGCAGGTCATCAGACAGGAAGAGCAACCAAAGCAGACACAGGGATATAACAAACTACAAAATAAAACAGGAAATAAATCTAAACCATGACAGTACCCCCTCCTCAAGGGACGGATCCCAGACGTCCAAAAAACAGCAAGGGAGGGAGGAGAGGGGCCGTGACGTGGAGCCGGGGCCGGGACGTGAAACCAGGGCCGGGACGCTGGAACCCCACAGGGTTGGTACAGGAGCTGGAGCGGGGACTGGAGCGAAGCAGGTACGAAACCGGAAGGCCCCCTGGATGGAGAAACGATGTCCAGCGGAGCCAGGTCAGAGACGGAAGCCTGAACAAAGCGTCCTGCAGTGGTCCAGGACAAAGACAAGAGAGGGATGCTTCCAACTCCTTCAGCGACTCTCCAGTTGGGGATAAACGCCAGAAATGAGAAAAAAAATAACTAAAATGAAGCAGTCTGCTTGGGCCTTGAGTGGTTCCATCATTCTGTCACGTGGGTGAAATTAAATGAGACCAAAAATGCAAAACTGCAAAAAATAATGGATTTAATAAAAAGATGAAACAAATCCAAAAACACCGGGAACGAGGACCGAACTAAAACAGACAAGGAATGACAATGATGGAACAGGGAGTGAAGGAACACACAGGGCTAAATACAAGACTAACGAGACACAGGTGATACACATGAGGGCAGGGCAGGTCATCAGACAGGAAGAGAAACCAAAGCAGACACAGGGATATAACAAACTACAAAATAAAACAGGAAATAAATCTAAACCATGACAGATGGACCATTAATAAACGCTATGAACTATTGAACCTTGAATGAACTTTATGAACTTTATAACGTGTTGGATCGTGAATGAACACAATTCATATGGGCATTAACTTGCTTTGAAATGGACTTTTATCTCGGCCGACTGTGAACAACTGTCTGAATATACATATATATATTTTGTTACTGTATTTTTCCTGTTGCGAATCCATGTGCACTTAGAGTCTGCAGACTGTACATATTGTAAATACATATGTCACTGTACATAATATATTTCCACTTAATAATAAGGCTTATTGCCGCTAAACTGCAAACCGTGCGTCGTGCCTTTTACTGTCCCTGTACCTCCGAGCCGTGCTTAGCTTCTGATCTAGCCCAACGTGATCCAATCTCTGTATATGCTACATAAGTATCACAAGTGTTGCTGGAGGAGAAAAGTTCGACCAATGGGGAGGGGCCTCAGCTGTACCAGGAACCTGTGGGGGGGGCACAAACTACAGCATTAAAAAAAGTCTCTATTTTCACAATTTATTAGAAGCCCTCCCACTTCACGTCCAATTCATGTCAAATTAGAAAAAAATGGATTATTCTAACTAATTTGTAAGTAATTCTTATATTTTACTTCAAACTTAAACAGGATACAAAAAAAACGCTATAAAAAAAAAATATATATATAATATATATATATATATATATATATATATATATATATATATATATATATATATATATATATATATATATATATATATATATATATATATATATATATATATATAACACATTTAATTGGCCGAGTGAGAGTGGTTCTGTCATTTTCACTTTTCTATCTGAAAAAGTTGATCTAATGATGTGACAGAGGTGGAAACTGTGAAAACTAGTGGCAGAAGCAAACTGTTCAGAGACCAGAGAACCTGTTAAGTGTATTTTGTTACCTTTTTCTTTTTTTGTTAGGTACTCCAGCTTTAATCTAAGGAATAATCAGAACAGTTGGCGTCGATTGTTAAACACAAACACTGTATTCTGAACCGTCACATGCCTGTAGTATTTTTGACCTAATAAGATCCATAGAGACTCAGGACATGGAGTAGATTGTAAAAAGCAGATTTAATTGTATCCTTTTGTGGTTTGCTAATAAGAACCATTCAAACAACCTTATTATTGTTTGTTTCACATGTGTTTTAAGTGAAGCAGCGTGATGTAATCTGTGAAACTGTCCAGATGTTCACTTGAACCGGTAGAATGTTTAAAAGACAGATATTCTGCAGAATGTCTTTCGACCACTTAACCACATTTATTGCTCGCCAAAAACAGCTGTGGGTTTGTTTTAGCAACGTTCATGCTAATATCAGGAAGTTTTAGCACAAACTCACCCCCTCACAGAACGCTCTGTGTTGAACCTACTGTTCCATCATGGACAGAGCAGGCATTTTCTTAACAAATAAATACCAATCAGACTCCTCCCGTTCAGGTATGTCCTGGGAGGATTCACTACAGCCGGGTGCTTACGTTATTATTGTCAAATGTCCCACTTTCCAAAGACTGTGATGTCACATGGCTTTTATACAGACAATATTTTTTAAGAGATAAGTTAGAATATAAAATGCCAGAGAATATGTGTAATATTTGTTCTTTTATAGGATTTCATGTTATAGCTGTAAAGTGAATCTCAATTGATGAAATAATAATTAATTAATCGCAAAGACTGCATTTATTTATATCCTTTGCAAAGAAAACGACTGCATAATAGATTTTCACTATATATTATGAGTGTATCACAGGGATTTTTATTACAAGTATGCAAAAGATTACATGAAATGAAGACAGAATGTTGTGGTCTGTTCCAAACGTTTTACTTTTACTAGATTCTTTAGGCTGTGCATGTGATCGCAGCCTCAAACATGTGTTTTTTATAAAGAGTAGTTTGGAGGTAGTTTGTAAACGTCCTGAACTCTAAACAAAACTGAACTTATAAATAAGAATAAGAATATATTGTAAAATTATTCACAATCGCAATATTTGTTGAAATATAGTGCTATATCACATTAGTTGGAAGCACTAGTATGTCTCTGGGTCAAACCAGGTCAAGTTTACCGTCTCACGTCACAGAGATGAGAAATACCAGACGCAGCAAAGACCACACTGTTTATGTTCGAGTTCATGAAGCAACTCAAATATTAACAGAGCTGATCCTCTGTACAAAATGGGTTTTATATGTCCTCATGTCTTACTGGTGAGGCTAATACAAAGGGGAGAAACTGTTTTGACTATATTTTTCATGAAAAACATATGATATATCATATAGTATATGATATATCATACTACAGGGTAGAACTGGGAGTCTCAGGGCACCTCACGATTCGATTTCATTTCAGACGCTGTGATTCCATCATAAAACTATTATTAATGCATATTTAATAATGTGTATTAGTTCACTTTTTCCACATTTCCAGAGTTAAATTCATTTCCATTATTTCTTACTAAGTTTATGAAAATATCCATTGGAACGGAAATGCATGACCATTTGAACTTTAGTGTACCGCTCAGGGTGCTTTGTGTTGTTTCATATGTTAGTTACAAATAATGCAAAAGTGATCTCAGGCTTAAATTAACTGCTACTTCAGTACCAACAGCTCAAAAAGATATTGCCTTTCGTAATTCGGATGGCCTTTTGCAATGTGGTTGACAGCACACATTTCCCCCACCTACTACAGGGTCATCAAAGGTGTATTTCGCCTGGTTCAAAGTCAGACCATAAACAATCACCGGACAGTTTGTGTGCACCTCTTACTGTATTTTCACTGCTGTGTGTCTGTGTGTGTTCTTCAGAGCTGTTGATCGAGCGCGTGGACCTGGAGTGTGAGTTCAACAACGTGGATCACCGCACGGACTTGAACGGGATCGAGCGGCTCATCGTGAGGCGGGGACAGGCCTTCACCATCCAGCTCCATCTTAGACCGGAAAGCACCCGCGAGACCGGAGCCAACAGCCTGACGTGTGTGGCCGAGACTGGTGAGGGGCAATGTAGTTTTCTTATGTATCAAAAGGAAAAATGACTAAAAAATAGAGCTGGAATCAGGCCTCAAAAGTTAAGTTCGAACTCGACCCGAAGCTGAGCCTGACAACTTTTTTCAAGGCTAAACTCTTCATCATTGAAGTGTTAACGCGATGCCGTGCGCTGCTGATCTAAGCGCGCTGCTGGAGGCTGTAAAAGTCTCTGACACACGCAGTAGAACCACTATTGCATTTGTTTTTGTCCTGACCGAGATCCCCCAGCACACTCAGAAGCAGTAGGCCTACATACCTTTGCATGTAAACCGGATACTACTGAGACAAGGGCAGTAGATGTATTTCAGAGCGCAAAGAATATACAGCCTGTATATTAGAAATGCATATATTTGGCCACTCTCTGATTTTGATTATTGTTGGCTTTATCATTGATGAAGCACACGGTCCCTTTGCACATGCTGATTGTTTTTGTTTCATTACGTGAAGCAGAAGCAGGAAACACGGTGAGTTTAATTGTTCAAATAACCGATCATTTTTGTACAGTTGATATTTTTAATTGGTAAAACATCTCCCTAGATACAATTAATAACATCTTTACCAGTAGCAGCAACAGCAGCAGTGTTTGCCCGTGCTTTGAGCCCTGTAATCTTTCAGACTGTCAATCAAAGTATCATGTGAAGCTGAGGATAGCTCCAAACAGAATGTGCTGATAGCTGTGTTATAGTAGTAGATTCAGATTTGGTTTCTGTCTCATGTGCCGTTAAAATCCACAATGGAATATTTGTGCAATAATCCCCAGTTTTTACAATAGACAACAAAACCCATCCATCCATCCATTTTCTACCCTTTAATCCATTTCTGGGTCAGGGGGGTGGCAATCAGAGATGCCACCCAAGTCTCATAGCACCAGCCCCTCACTGACCCTCTGCAGGTGGTGAGTCCACAGGAGGACGGCTGCTCACTGAGTGTGAGCATAGCCTTGATCTTTCAGTGGGAGCTCAGTAGCTCAGTTGGTAGAGCATTGGCCTTAAGGCCAGAAGGTCGTGGGTTCAATTCCCACCTCTACACCTTCTCCACCGACTCCCACTGATGACTCCTGTCGTTGTGTCCTTGGGCAAGACACTTAACCCCACTTTGCCCAAAGCCCCCCAAAGACAACAAAACACAAAAGAAAATACAGGAAAAACAATGGATACTGTGAAAGAACTGAAGTTTTGAAATGACAAGCACAGGAAACAGTGAAGGTAAGTACAGTATCACTAGTAATAATCGCTGGGATTAATCAAACTATAAACACATCAGGATCCATGTGTAGTAATGATCAGTGTGGAGCACTGAGTATCTTTAATTTAGTCTCTCGTGTCAGTAGAAACCTCTATATATGTTTATGTCCAGCTCCAGATTTAAGGGAAACCACATTCCTGTTGCTTTGTATGTTCTTAGCTACTACTATGATAATATCATGTTTATTCGTATTGCAAATTTACAACAAGCAGTGCCAGTCAAAATGCTTCACACAGGAGGAATTTAAAAAAAAAAAGTTAAAATACATGATACAAAAATGCCATATAAGGAACATGGCTGGTACATTATAAAACAATATTCGCATTAAATATTGATGATGAGGAACTAAATAAATACAAGAAGTAAGCTGAAACCGTGTGTGCAATCTCAAAACAGTTATTCTTCATTTACTTTTCAACAAATGGAACCTGCTCTTATCATACTGGAAAATATGGAGGAAAAATGAACGTGCATTTCTGTTTGTTGATTTCAAACTTCACTGTTCCACAGGAAGCGGCTCTTTGCCAACGAGGAAGCACATGTGTGAGCAGAGATAACCCAAAGTCTGGTTGTATAAGAAGGATAATCATAGATAATATTTTCAACACAACTGTCTTTGAACACGAGGCTGTAGAGTTTATGATCTTGCATATTCCCCTTAATTGTGTTTACATACTGGTACTTTATTTAAAGATGCAGTCTGAGAAAATATAACACATTTCCAAAGTATTTAATTCTACGACCACAAAAACTGCTCGGAGATGGGATGAAGTCAGTAATGCTTGCAGTCGGTTGAAAGTAATGTATCAAAACTAGAAACCGTAGTATTGTAGATCCCCCTTTGAAACAGTATTTTAAAGTTTGGGTACACACATTTCAATACCATCTATTCAAAACTCAGGGGTTTCGAGGTAATATTTGTTAGTGTCCAAATTTAAAAAATGATAGCCGGACGAGAGCCACAACATTTTAAGGCTGCAATTTTATTCCACGGTATCCATTTTTTAATTCTGTAAAGTTAGTTTGACATAATCTTTTGCATCTGTGCTTATTTTCTATGTATTATTTATATTTTAGGTAATGTTTAGGGTTATATATTATCAAATTTGTCAGATACATTTATATTTGTATTTCTGGTTCAGTTCTGTTTGGACTAAACCATAACTGGACAATATATGGTCATGTGTGATTTATTGTTATTTTTATTTAACTATAACTAATTATTTGAGTTCAATGTTTAGAATAAAACTAATGATGTGGATGTTTTCCCTGAGAAAATGTGCTTTAAAATGATGTCTAACATGCCAGTGTTATGTTCAATGCTACAAGTTTAGAGTAAGAATGATCTCAGGGGCTGTGTGTTTGAAATGCCTGATCTAACTAGTTTCTTTCTCATTTGGTTCTGTCACCAGTTTGCACATGCATTTGTTGTTTCTGTCACATATTTAGATCAGCTTTTCTGACGGAAAAGTGATTATTTATTGTATTATTTTTGAATGAATCTTCTTCATATTGTTGTACTTAGACTTGTACTTGCTTCTGAGACAGTGCTTCTGACCCACTGGTTTTGTCCCGCAGGCCCTCAGCCATCGGAGCAGTATGGCACCAGGGCAGTCTTTGGCCTCTCCCCCAGCCTAGACACGTCTCGCTGGAGTGCTGCTGTGACCTGTCCCCCTGTAGACATACTCACTCTGTCCCTGTGTGCCGACCCCAACGCTCCCATCGGCCGCTACACCCTGAGGCTGGGCTCCTCCACAGAGATCCAGCTCATCCTGCTCTTCAACCCCTGGTGCTCAGGTCAGCACTGCTCATTACTCACCACCGCTGGGTACTCAGGCATTACAGGGATGAGGATTTATTTCATTATAACTGCCCCTCAAATGTAACTGGGTGCACTACTTTGATAAACTCAATCTATTACATTGATTGTGTTTGAATGGAATCGGTCTGAGAGGGCCATTTTGTTTCAAAGACCTGAAACAGGTGTTGAAGGTGATATTTCATACAATGGGGCACTGTCCTATCGCGTACAGTAAGTATTTTTCAACAATAGTCAAAATTACCACCAGTAATATTAGCTGTAGCAGAAAAGTCAAACAAATGACGAGTAGTCCCAAGGATTTTAATTAATTTCAACAAATCATGATTCATTTGCAAACAATGGACAGATGATACAGATGTATTTTGATAAACAATAATAATGAACTTACTTTGTGCCATCAGTACAATTACAAAACAGCCTGTTTTACTATGTATCCAATTTCATCATGACTCATCAAAAGTAATTTACAGTTTAAATAACCACTAATTAAGTGATTTATTTGACTATTACAAAGAAGAAAATTCTCACTATTGCAAAGAAAAAAGGATAATTATGTATTATTAATATATTGTTCTATTTATTCATATTGAACTATAATACAGTAAAGTTATTATCGTGACAGGCTTTCACCTGATAGCCACATTGTTTATGTTGATATCTTTAGAAAATCATCAAATGAGAAGGAATCTCTGTAGGTTGCCCTTTTTGTTGGTGAAATTCAGCTGGTTTTACCTAAACCCCACCACTGGCCATTGTTTTTTTAAATTAGCATCAGTAAGATCCTGGGTTCAAAGCCGGGTTAGAACAGGGTCTTTATTAGTGGATTTGGCATGTTATCCTCGTGTCTACATAAGATAATTGGTAAATAAAATCCTCTGGTCCTGAACACTGGCCCTGGTGGCAAAGGCAGAGGACAATGAAGTACGAACTTAACTTGAGATACATTAGATAATGAATTCTGAGTGTTTTTTGGGACAAAAAAAAATATATATGTTTAGCTCATCTCTGTGGCCACTTGAAGCTCATGTGTTTGTAATTTAAAACCCAAATCTCACATATGGTTCCTTTAAGCCAGACGGATTCACAGTCCATTTGTCAAACTGTCGTTCAGAAGATCAAGTGAAAAACAGGAACAGTGATGAAACTGCTACTACTCAGTTTCAGCAAGTAGTAGTTCTAGTTCTAGTTCTAGTTCTAGTAGTAGTAGTAGTAGTAGTTCTAGTTGTAGTAGTAGTAGTTCTAGTTGTAGTAGTGTTCTAGTAGTTCTAGTTGTAGTAGTAGTAGTTCTAGTTGTAGTAGTGTTCTAGTAGTTCTTGTAGTAGTAGTTGTAGTGTTGTTCTAGTTGTAGTGTTGTTCTAGTTGTAGTAGTAGTAGTAGTAGTGTTGTTCTAGTTGTAGTAGTAGTAGTAGTGTTGTTCTAGTTGTAGTGTTGTTCTAGTTGTAGTAGTAGTAGTAGTAGTGTTTTTCTAGTTGTAGTAGTAGTAGTAGTGTTGTTCTAGTTGTAGTAGGTGTAGTAGTAGTAGCAGCAATAGTATGATCTGTGTGTCTTCCTTCAGGAGATGCTGTGTACATGGAGAGAGAGGAGGATTTGACTGAGTATGTTTTGACTCAGGATGGTCTCATCTTCAGAGGCAGCAGCTCTTACCCCATCGCCACCCCCTGGAACTTTGGACAGGTACTGCAAATACTGCCACCCTCATAGTATAGCAGAGGTGACCAACTCGTTTTGGTCACGGGCCAAAACAGAATAGAAGGGATTTCCTTCTCTTGTAATTGTTTTTTTTTTTACATTATGAAGGTATTGGGTCATACTTTTATGTTACATGAGTTTCCATATTATTTTTTGATTGATTTTTCTGAAAACAAAATCTGTTTATTTAACCAAAACTGGACCAAATATAAAATGAAACATTTGATTTATATGTTTTACTTTTAATATATTTTAATATTTAACTTCTAATGATGGGCTGGGTATCTTTTTTAGAATAAGATAATAATTATTTGTTTTCATTTATTTGAATGGGACAGTGCATGTCAATGAACAGACACATTAGAAACATGGATGTAAACATCCTAGGTTATAGCCAAAAGCTAATTTCCTTAAATTAGTATGGATGTATGCATGCCTTGGAAGCCCATCACCATCAATGCTGCAAATTAATATTGATTTTTAAAAATCATCTTGGGGTCACTAAAAATTAACTTGTGGATTTGGCCCAGTGGGAGTTGTAGAAGTGCACCATAGGAAACCTATGGTCAATTGGGAACTTCAAGGAACACGGGAGCACTTTAAATCAGCACTTCAATGCAGTGTTACTATTATTTTACTTTCCATGGGCTGGTTGTTTGACAAGTGCACCATTTAAATGAGGATGCAAGGAATATAAGGTGTTTTCCCTGATTTACTTTCAAAAATAAATATGTAGAGGTAGGTACAGATCTTTTTATGTTTGTGATTATAAACCTGTGTTGACAAGAGTTAGTCAAGATTTGATCAAATAATTATGTTCTAATGATTATGCTTTTATTGTCAAAATTGTCAGGGGCAAATTATTTGTGTGACTACAACCACAGTAACAGACAATGTATAGTTTTAATCTAACCAAGAATGCATGACCTGTACAGGATTTTATAGGTTTAACCAATATACAGCTTTATGAGACATGGCGTGTTGACTTGTTTATGGTTCAGGAGAAATACTCCCCACTTGTTTCATTCAAACGGTAATATAATTACCACAATAAATTTCAGCTGTGCTTTTGGTCAAGGAAATATAAATTATTTCTGATCAAGTTTTAATCAGTTGTTAGTCGACCTTTGCATGGCTTTATTATACACTGACATTTTTACAGCTTACTATAAAAACAGAGCTTGAGGATGAGCTTTATGTAAATGTTATTCTTGGCTTGTGTAAAAAATTGGAACCAGATCAAAGTCTTTTATCATCAGCACATGCCAGCGGCTCAACCCATGCCAGGGTTTGGGTTGAACCAGGACAGTGGGATTCACCTGTTACTGAACCAGAGGGAGTTTATGAGCTGACAGGAAAGTGAAGAATGAGAGGTTTTTTTGACATAATTTAAATTAGTGCATACCTTTTTATACAAAGTTTTGCTGTACTACTCACAACGGATTCCCATGTCAACGCTTTTTTTAGAGAAAGTCATACATCTGCGACAGCTCCATAGCGACGTGGCCACTGTTTTCACTTGCCGGGGCACTGTATGTGCTCTACAAGTATTTTTTCATTTTTGGATTCTCCCCCAATTTAACCAGACTTGCTCCAGTTAAAATGAACCAGACTAACAAGTGATTGTGGCCACAGAAGTGAACTAGAACGTGCCCTCGGAGAATGCATACCCCGCCTACACCACACACACACACATCATCTGTACATTTGTTCATCCTACACTGAAATAGACTGTAGCTTTTCTTCGTGAGATCAACTTTGAGTGTTTATTAGAGGAGGAAAGCTCATTTGTGTTGTTTGCTCACAGTTTGAGAGCGGCATTTTGGACATGTGTCTTCGGATCCTCGACATGAATCCAAAATGTCTGGCAAACCCCGGAAAAGATCATTCAGGACGGAGGAACCCCATCTACGTCTCCAGAGTCCTCAGTGCTATGGTAGGACCACCCATACTTTTACTAAAACTGGGTTTTAATTATTGATTATAAGGGCTGTTGGGTAAGGTATCTGTTTTCATACAATTATTTTACTCGTATAGGAAACACTTTAAGAATAGAGTTATAGTGCCTCAACTTCTCAATTCAGGTATCTCTGGCTCTTATTCACGAGTGAGAGAAGGATGGAGCGTGAGAGTGACAGGTGGATTGTTGCAGTGCGCACAGTGATGTTGTCGTTGTATCGGACCATTGTGTTGAAGAGGGAGCTGAGCTGAAAGGCAAAGCTTTTGATTTACCAGTCAATCTTCGTTCCCTCCCTCACCAATGGTCATGAGCTTTGGGTAATGACCGAAAGAACGAGATGGCGAAGCCGTCAAAATGAGTTTCCTCCGCAGAGTGGCTGGGCGCTCCTTTAGAGATAGGGTGAGGAGCTCAGTCACACAGGAGGAGCTCGGAGTAGAGCCGCTGCTTCTCCACACCGAGAGGAACCAGTTGGTGGTCTGGGCACATCCCACCGGAGGCCCTGGGGAGGACCCTGGACATGCTGGAGGGACTACGTCTCTCAGCTGACCTGGGAACGCCTTGGGGTCCCCCCGACGGAGCTTGAGGAAGTGTGTGTGGATAGGGAATTCTGGGCGTCTGTTTACGACTCGGCAACGGATGAAGCGGAAGACAATGGATGGATGGATGAAAACACATTGAGAACATTAACATTCTTTAGTTTTCAATCAGTTTTTGATACAGCTTTCTAGTGCCAGATGATGGTAGTGGGGAGTATCTGTTTTACTAAATAACAGCCAAGTTTCTTTCTTTTTGAAGTGAATTATTGGTGATTTTATTATCTTAGGTTTGATTCAGGTTATTTCCCAACACGATCAAACCTAAGGTCACTAACTTTACAACCACAAAAATATCAATGTGATAAAATCCTCGTAACTACAGTGGTTCCTCCCTCTCAAAACACATCTTAAGATCAGCACTTCACAATTCTCTTGTGGCTAAACTCTTGGAGGAAAACGCTTCTTTATGTTTAAAAATTGACCTTATAGGGGACATGGTAATTCAATTGAACACCCTTTTAAGTCTATAGATTCTACTTATAGGTCTAATATAATGATAAGGTTACGACCTGGCTCTGGGCTATAACCAAAAATAACTCAATAAACGGATGTCAATTAAATATAGTTTATTGTGAATTATTGTAAAGTAAGCTAATCAGTTTAATATAGTGCTTTAAAATATTCTTTCACTTCATACACGGTGGTGGTGATAAACTACTATTGGGGCAAACTGAAAGAAGCGAGGCAACCAGTACAGTATGTGCCATCTCCCCCTCCGACAACCACCAGCCATTCACGCATCAGAATCATTCAAGGCAATGTGGGCAAAGTGTCTTGCCTAAGGACACAATGGCAGTTTGGCACATAACAGCCACCCTTCTGTGGCACCTGGTGTCCCCAGAGGTCTCCCATCACAGTATTAACCAGGCCCTGCCTTGCACAGTTTCATAGGTCTGATGAACCTGCTGTTTGTATGTAAGTATGGCCACTCATTCCAAGAGGTGTGGGCACTCAGGTGCAGGGGAGGGAAGTGAGTCTAGGCACACGCACAGTCAATGCCACTTCCCAGCAACTCCTGCAGATAACTGCGAGTATATACATGGCCACAAGAGGGCAGCAAAGACAGGGCCATGACACTTTTGAAGTCAATAAACCGGTAAACTTAAATGATTGAACATTTGTATGTTTTGAATGCAATCAGTGTTTCGTCGCAGTGCTGTTTGCTAAAGTGTTGACCCACCCAGCTCCTTACCCGATCTGTGAAAGTGCCCTAATATGAAGACAGAATCTTGTGGACTCATTTGTTTACAAATAATGACTTTCTGTTGGGATAAACAACATGTATTGTCTAGCTTTAATAACAGTGTGTACTGTATGTGTAGGTGAACTGTAACGATGACCGCGGTGTGCTTAAGGGGAATTGGAACGATACCTTTGATGGTGGAGTTAGCCCCATGTTCTGGAAGGGCAGCCTGGACATTCTCCGCCGCTGGGATACGAGTGCTTGTGCTCCGGTCAAGTACGGACAGTGCTGGGTGTTTGCTGCAGTCGCCTGCACTGGTCAGAATTCTCGGCATATCTCATTTAAACATTTATGCAAAGTGGATTGCAAATTTTAAATTGCAATCTTTGATTTGCGCAAATTGACTTTACATGACACTCTTTCCTCGTGTTTTGTGTGCAGTGTCCAGAGCGTTGGGGATCCCCTGTAGAGTGGTGACGAACTTCGCATCAGCTCACGACAGCAACGCTAACTTACTGATCGAGCGCTACATCAACGAGAGCGGGAACTCCATCTCGGTCGTCAACTCAAGAGGCCGGCGCATCGGCTCCGAAATGATCTGGTAACGTCTCATGTATATAGACCAGTGTTTTTCAACCACTGTGCCGCGGCACACTAGTGTGCCGTATGATATTGTCTGGTGTGCCGTGAGAAATTCGTCTACTTTGTCTAAAAATAACTGCATTCGCTGTTGACGAGCGGTGACTTGTTTTGAACTGTGGAGTAACCATGTAATACTTTTTCAAATCAGTAGAGGGCAGCAGATAGCTAAGTACTTTGAAACTGAAAAATTGGATGCGACCACTGGCTGTAACAGGTAGTGGGAGCATTGTGGCGAGAAAGGTAAAATTGGATGCGACCAACAAATGTGGGAGGGAGCGAGACAAGAGCTTTGTGGCGAGTGAGAAGTGAAAGTGATAGAGACGTTTTTGAAAATGAATTATGCCGTTTCTGAACAGGATTAACATCCTCCGCTCTGCCCCGGGGCAGCTGTGGCCGCGTTGTAGTGGTTTAACTATGAAATGTACAATTTTTGTACAACAGCTCTCGCGAACGCACTTCTGAACTGGGTACCGAGCGCAGACTATAGTCGAGTGGACACAGTGGCGGAGCCAGAGGGGTAGCCAGGGTGGCCACTGCCACCTCTAAAAATATCCTTGCCACCCCCAGTGCCCCCCTCGGCAATGTAACAATGTTAATCTTGAGAATCTTCCGCACTTTTTCCGCCAAAAGTTAAAAATTCCCACGGTTTCCCCCGTCTGTGAACGCACCCTGACTCCGTGGAGCCGGTGCTGTACGCTAATGCTTTGGGTTGTTGGACTCAGGTGTGTGCCCAAGTCGTGATGAAAACAAAGAGGTAAGTTAGCGATGCAGAGCCAACCGTTTACATTTGACACAAAGTATAGACACACGTACTGCAGCGCATTACTTGTTCAGTTTGTAGAACTTTTAGTGTGTGTATGTGTGCGTGCGTGTGCGTGCCTGTGTGCGTGTGTCAGCGTGCCAGTGTGTCTGTGTGTGTGTGCGTGCCTGTGTGTGCCAGGGTGGGTCTGCGTGCCTGTGTGCGTGCCTGTGTGCGTGTGTGTGCGTGCGGGGTGCATGCGTGTGTATTTTCCATTATTAATTGCCCATCGTATCATTGTCCTCTTCCCTTTAGTGTAAACATGAAAAGAAAAGGAGGAAACATTGCCTACAGATGAAACCTGAAGGTCAGACTCGGAGGCAGTATGTTTTGAGATGATGAGGAATTTGTTGTGTTGCATTAAAATATAGCTTATATAATTGAGTTTCAGAGAATGAGAGGGTGTCGCAGACAGGTGTAGGATTGTCTATTGGCAGAAGGCGTTTTTTCACACACAAAAAAAGAAAAAAAATAGCTAAGATTATGGATGATGTGCAGTCGCTTAACCCCAAAACATTTTTGAAAGAAGAGCCCCTGTTTTCATTTGGCAGAACCTTTCAGTCAGATATAGAGGACCTTAAGCATGAGGTACGTTAAACTAGGCGGCTTCTTGGGAGAAAAAAATGGATTAGAGAGTCCCTATTGGACTTCCTTGTCCTTTTGGAACGTTTGGAAAGTGTTTCATGAGCTTTTGAGGCTTGCAAAGATCTTTTTAATGCCTGTCAGTACTGCGTCGTGTGAAATAAGTTTCTCTGCCCTAAAACTTATTAAAAACCATCTCAGAACTACCATGGCAGATGATTGAGTCATCTTTGTATCCTCAGTGTAGGGTCAAGGAGGGCTGAATATGGATGAGTTTGTCAACATCTTTGCTGCTTTACACCAGAACCGCAGGAATTTGCTAAATTTGTTAAAAGAAAAATGTAATGCAATGTTTGAATTATGTTATTTTGCACTTTTTTGTTCAGACTACTATTTAAATACACTTTTTTGCTTTGTAGTTTCCAAGTGTGCTCTCAGTTCACTTTATATTAAAAATAATGACAAGATTAAGATTAAAATGTATCGTTTAGCCAGTTTTTGTGTGAAATAAAATTTCGGAATAGTATAAATGTGGACCCCTTAAAAAAACCCTTGCCACCCCCTGCCCACCCCCTGTTTAAAAGTCTGGCTCCACCACTGAGTGGACAGAACCACAGACATGCGGACCGGACAGAACCATGGACTCGCGTTCAGGACCTCCCGTGTCCCTCATCCAAAACTCCTGAATTTAAAGCTCGGATACCTACATTTTTCCCATGCACTAACAATGCATGTTCTTTGTGTGAGTTATTATTTGACTATTAGGGCAGAGAGTGGATTTTCTTAGTTTTTTTCCACACAGTTAGTGCCACTTTATTCCCAAACTCTTGTTAATTGTATCGAGAAATATTAAATAAAGCTTAATGTCAAGGCCTGGACTTAAGCATTTTGATGAGAATAACTGTATATTGTGAATATAGGCTACAGAGTATACTGTATACATTATAAGATAAGATATACTTTATATATCACACAGAGTATGTACAGTATATATTTTTTTACATTAGTACTGTATACATTTTTACATTTTCTCCTGGAGGTGTGCCGCAAGATTTTTTCAGTGAAAAAAGTGTGCCTTGGCTCAAAAAAGGTTGAAAAACACTGATATAGACAGATACTGTAAATACATGGAATACAACCTTGTATCATAGACCCTATAAAGTGGGTAAGTGATCTTTTTATAAGCAGTGTTTGGGCACGTTACTTTGAAAAAGTAGTTATTTATAGTTACTAGTTACTTCTCCCAAAAAGTAACTGCGTTACTAACTGAGTTACTCCACAATAAAAGTAACTAGTTACCAGTAAAAGTAACTATTTCGATACTTTTCGTTTTGTTCTGGAACATAATGTGCACTGGACGAGCACGTTTTTACCTTCAACCTCAGTGAGTTTGAAATAGTGCCAATATTTCCATCTGGAAAAGGTTTTTTTGCTGCTGGAGTCCTCTATCTTTCTCTGAGACGGAAACACGTGACGTGCGGTGAGGTCGGTGATTGGTGAGGCACTGACTTCAGCCCAATCAGATGTACATGTATCATATATATCATATAAATCAACAGGACCTACAGAGCGGCTTCTTCACAATTTGTTTGGCTACAACAGAATGTTTCATGCCCGCCTTGTTTGCTCATACAAAACGCAAAAGTATGAAAAAGCACATTTAAACATGTGTTATGGGCCTTACCTTAAACATAACCTGCAGAGACCACCACTTCAGACCAGTTTTATGTTTAAGTTTGAGCATAGATATGTAAGCCTCCATCTGGAAATAAGTCCAATGAGTTTTAAAAAGTAAAACAAAACGGGTGTCTCCTCCATAAACTCCTCTCGTGTTTTGCTGCAGCCGAATCTCGGGTGCATCCAATTTCTAAAATTAACCTTCTTACCCTTCACCTCTCTTTCTCATCATTCCTATCGTCATTGGAACATTACCTTAAGTGCGTTTTAAATTATCTAAAATGTGTTTTTCATATGTTAACTGCCCTCAGCATGAAGAACAAGAAAGGAGCTTTCTAATGGAATTGGATGCAGCCGAATTCTGCGCTCACATGCGCCCCCCTGAGGCTGGCCTTACTTGGTGACATTACAAGCCGTGGTTGAGCCCGATTAAGACCCATATTTGTTTCAAGAACACAATTTATGACCCATCCTCTCAGCTGTAGACATTTAGATTGTAAAAGAAATATGTTTTACATCAGCCAATAATTGCTGAGAGGTTTTCTCATCCTCCCTTTTATCATGACAGCACACGCACAAGTCCTCTCATGAAGTAAAAAAAAAGTTAATTGTGCGTCTTGAGTAACGTACAGTAACGGCATGTCGGCAATGATAACGGCGTTATAGTTTAACCAAAGTAATTAGTTAGATTACCCGTTACTATATTAATACTACTGTATTACTATATAGTAGATTGATAACGCTAGCTCAATGAAGCCTAACAGAGAAGTGCTCATGGATGACATTTTAGTCTGGCTCTTAATGACTTGCATTGAAAAATGAATTCCTCTAGTTCAGTAACTTGTTGCGTCACACTCACCAATTTTAGCATTTAAGTTAGCATTTGTGGCCGGTTAGAACAGAGCAACATTGTATATTGCATTTATTTATAATAAAGGTTTTATTGAAAAATGATTACCAGTAAGCTGAAATATTTGTTCCACTGGATCTTAAGCACTGATCAAATGTTGTGATCCATAATGCAGTTTTGGGGAAATACATGGAGCTTTTGGCACGTCCTATCTTTGGTCGGCTACAGATACAAGAACAGATCAGTTTGGAATCAGACTGTGTTGTTTTCAGGAACTACCACTGCTGGGTGGAGGGCTGGATGACTCGACCCGATCTGAAAAGGGTGGAGTTTAACGGCTGGCAAGCCTTCGACCCGACGCCACAGGAGCTGAGTGACCGTAAGGACCATGTCTCAAATCCATGACTTATTGTTTCTCTTGAAATCACAATCACATTGATCTCAGTGGATGTGACAGAATTGTGAATTTGCAGACAATAATTTTTAGACAAATGCGATTAAAACACAAGGAAATGCAATAACCAAATTAAAGCCGCAAGCTGACGCGCCATTTTCCTACCGCCCTGATGGGAGCGACACTGTGCATTTTTAATTCCTATGATCAGTGATTGTGTGTCTCTATTGAAAAGGTAAACCCCAGTCTCTCCATGTAACACTTGTATCATTCTGTAAGGGGCGCTGACGCTGCATTTCCATGATTTACATGTTCAGTTTACTCAAACCCAAGAGTTGGACTATCAAATCAAATTTTGTGCAAATCGGATTTTGTATGTGCAAATGGTGTTATTTAATGTTGTACAATAGCCACAAAATTCGGTACACATGTTCCTCAGGTCAAGACATGAGAAAAAAGTTATTATGGCTCCGCCCCTTGACAAACAGGGAGCTCATTAATTTCAATGGAAAATGGAAAAATGAAAATTGATATTTTTCACACATGTCTGTTGGAAATGATCTCCTCGGCCGTTTCATCAATTTGTCTCAAAATCGCTCCACATGGTCTAAACACATGTTCCATCAATTATTGAATATAGAATTTGGATCAGTTTAACGTTGTCCGAGCAGCGGAGCGGCAAAATGTGACATTTTTTTTCAAATTTTTGACAAAAGTAAATTTGCTCCCGTTTGCACAAACAAAGCCGGATTTGCACAAAATTTTAATCCATTGTTCAGCTCCAGGGTTTATGGACACACTCACAGATTGTATGTGCAAACAGGATCACATTCACAAACTCTGATTTGCACTAAACTTGACTTTGTTGTTCAACTCCTGGGCCTAGGTCACATGACATTGTGAACAATGACATTGGTCCATTATCGCCCCCTACAGGCTGAGTAAAGGTTTACATGGGGATACAGGTATTTAGGTTTTATGTTGTTTGATCTCATATTTGACCCACATAACAAACATAAAAAATCACCAAACTTTGCCACAAGTTTTTTTCAGGCATAAAGTGTATTATTTTGGCTTTCTTTGGTATAAGACTAAAAAGTTTACATTGTAGGGGGCGCTGTTGTACAACATAAATGCCTTCCGTTTGCACATACAACGTCCGATTTGCATAAAATTTGAATTGATTGTTCAACTCTCGGGTTTGGGTGAACTGAAAGTGTAAAAGTAGTGCCCCCTACAGAGTGATACAAGTGCTACATGGAGAGACTGGGGTTTACCTTTTCAATAGAGACACACAATCACTGATCATAGGAATTCAAAATGCAGTGTCGCTCCCATCAGGGCAGTGGGAAAGTGGCGCGCCAGCGCCACCTCCTTTGCGCGATGCGGCGAGGGTCGTTAGATGCGGCTTTAATTAGGCCCGAGCCCCAACCGGGGTAAGGGCCTATTGCTTTTCCAACGAGTAATGCCTTACTCGTATGCCAGTTACTCGTTGTAACTGTCATAAGTCACAATTTATTTGTGACCTGCACGCAACGGCACGTGCCCAAGCACTGATAAATCAGTGCCGGAGGCACGGAATGGTTTTGCTCCTGCTGTAGTACAGTGAAATTGACGAGCGCGTCGGCGATTGTGACCCAAGCCCGACGGCGCGTGCCCAGACACTGACAAAACAGTGCCGGAGGCACTGAATGGCTTTGCTCCTGCTGTATTACACAGTGTAATCAATGGGGTCCTATGGGGGGGGTGGGTGACCTCATGATGGCGAGGTGATTGACGAGCGCGTTAGCGCTCGTCAATCACCGAGATCCCAATAGTTGCGTTCGCCTCGTCGTTCGCTTTAAAACGACGTATCATTTGTATTATAGGTTACTATGGAAACCTATATTGTTTTTGCTCAAAGTTTTACAAAAAAAATTCCTTGGTTTATTTATTTATTAGGCCCGAGCCCCAACCGGGGTAAGGGCCTATTGCTTTTCCAACGAGTAATGCCTGGGCGAAGCCCAGGCATTACTCGTTGAACTGTTTTAAGTCACAATCTCCGGGCGCAGCCCGGAGATTGTGACCTGCACGCGACGGCACGTGCCCAAGCACTGATAAATCCGTGCCGGAGGCACGGAATGGCTTTGTTCCTGCTGTAGTACACAGTGAAATGATTGAAGTCCTATTAAAGGGGGGTTCCTTCAACTGTCTTACTGACGAATGTCCGGGCGAAGCCCGGACATTCGTCCCCCAAGCCCGACGCGCGTGCCCAGACACTGACAAAACAGTGCCGGAGGCACTGAATGGCTTTGCTCCTGCTGTAGTACACAGTGAAATGATTGAAGTCCTATTAAAGGGGGGTTCCTTCAACTGTTTTACGGACGAATGTCCGGGCGAAGCCCGGACATTCGTCCCCCAAGCCCGACGGCGCGTGCCCATACACTGACAAAACAGTGCCGGAGGCACTGAATGGCTTTGCTCCTGCTGTAGCACACAGTGTAATGAATGGGGTCCTATGGGGGGGGTGGGTGACCTCATGATGGCGAGGTGATTGACGAGCGAGTCAGCGCTCGTCAATCACCGAGAACCCAATAGTTGCGTTCGTCTGGTCGTTCGCTTTAAAACGACGTATCATTTGTATTACTATGGAAACCTATATTGTTTTTGCTCAGAGTTTTAAAAAAAAATTCCTTATTAGGCCCGAGCCCCAACCGGGGTAAGGGCCTATTGCTTTTCCAACGAGTAATGCCTGGGCGAAGCCCAGGCATTACTCGTTGAACTGTTTTAAGTCACAATCTCCGGGCGCAGCCCGGAGATTGTGACCTGCACGCGACGGCACGTGCCCAAGCACTGATAAATCCGTGCCGGAGGCACGGAATGGCTTTGTTCCTGCTCTAGTACACAGTGAAATGATTGAAGTCCTATTAAAGGGGGGTTCCTTCAACTGTTTTACGGACGAATGTCCGGGCGAAGCAAAAAACTTGACCTCCGAAAAATCCCATGGGGGTATTATTAGGCCCGAGCCCCGAACGGGGAAAGGGCCTATTGTTTTTGCTCGAGAGATGTCAAATTCTGCACTTTGAGCCTTAATTTCACCCCCTGAACATGCATGAAAAGTTGTAAAATTTTGCCCAAACATCACACCTGGTGAAAAATTTGATATTTGGGTGTTTATTTTTATGGGACTCAAAAAATGCCAGAACAGCGCCACCTACAACAGCCAATGGGAGTTTCAGAGGTCAAGTTTGTCGTAGAGCCATGAAATTCGGTACACATGTTCCTCAAGTCAAGATACGACCGAAATGTTACCATGGCTGCTCCGCCCTCTGACAAACAGGAGGCCCATAAATTTCACTGCAAAATGGAAAAATGATCCGCAATCATTTTCATACATGTCGGTTGGAAAGCGACTCCTCCTCGGCCGTTTTACCGATTGGCCTCCATATCACTCCACATTGTCTAAACACATGTACCATCAAAATGACCTCAGGGATTTTTGATCAGTGAAACGCTGTTTGAGCAGCGGCGCGGCAAAATGTGAGTGTTTATTGGCCGTTTTTCACAACATTCTATTTGCTCCCGTTTACACATACAAATTCCGATTTGCACAAAACTTGAATCCATGGTTCAACTCTAGGGTCTAGGTCATTTAAAAGTGAAATGATTGAACTCGGCTCATTAACGCCCCCTACAGACTATTTCAGAGTTTTTAGTATGAAAAACTCTGAAAACTTTGACTCTATCTGTAGGGGCACTAATGAGCCAAGTTCTTTTATTTCACTTTCAATTGACCTAGACCCTAGAGTTAAACAATGTATTAAAGTTTTGGGCTAATCAGACTTTGTATGTGCAAACGGGAGCAAATTTAATATTGTCCAAAACGGCCAAAAAAAGGTCACATTTTGCAGCTCCCCTGTTCAAACAACGTTTCACTGATGAAAAATCGCCGAAGTCATTTCCAAGGTACATGTGTTGAGATGATCTGGAGCCATTTTGAGGCAAATGGGTGAAACGGCCGAGGAGGAGTCGCTTTCCAACCGACATGTATGAAAATGATTGCTGTTCATTTTTCCATTTTGCAGTGAAATTTATGGGCTTCTTGTATGTCAGAGGGCGGGGCCATAATAACATTTTTTTCATGTCTTGACTAGAGGAACATGTGTACCGAATTTCATGGCTCTACAAAAAACTTGACCTCCGAAAAATCCCATGGGGGTATTATTAGGCCCGAGCCCCGAACGGGGAAAGGGCCTATTGTTTTTGCTCGAGAGATGTCAAATTCTGCACTTTGAGCCTTAATTTCACCCCCTGAACATGCATGAAAAGTTGTAAAATTTTGCCCAAACATCACACCTGGTGAAAAATTTGATATTTGGGTGTTTATTTTTATGGGACTCAAAAAATGCCAGAACAGCGCCACCTACAACAGCCAATGGGAGTTTCAGAGGTCAAGTTTGTCGTAGAGCCATGAAATTCGGTACACATGTTCCTCAAGTCAACATACGACCGAAATGTTACCATGGCTCCGCCCTCTGACAAACAGGAGGCCCATAAATTTCACTGCAAAATGGAAAAATGATCCGCAATCATTTTCATACATGTCGGTTGGAAAGCGACTCCTCCTCGGCCGTTTTACCGATTGGCCTCCATATCACTCCACATTGTCTAAACACATGTACCATCAAAATGACCTCAGGGATTTTTGATCAGTGAAACGCTGTTTGAGCAGCGGCGCGGCAAAATGTGAGTGTTTATTGGCCGTTTTTCACAACATTCTATTTGCTCCCGTTTACACATACAAATTCCGATTTGCACAAAACTTGAATCCATGGTTCAACTCTAGGGTCTAGGTCATTTAAAAGTGAAATGATTGAACTCGGCTCATTAACGCCCCCTACAGACTATTTCAGAGTTTTTAGTATGAAAAACTCTGAAAACTTTGACTCTATCTGTAGGGGCACTAATGAGCCAAGTTCTTTTATTTCACTTTCAATTGACCTAGA